TCAGTGGTCTAATGACTAAGTGCTCGCGCGCGAAGCCAGTAGGCCCTGGGTTCGAATCCCTCGGGATCATGGATGCGCACTGCTGAGGAGTCCCATGCCAGGACGAAACGGCCGTCCAGTGCTTCCAGGTTTTCAATGGTGGTCTAGCTTCAATTGACTCATGATTTCAACCAGGGAAATTTCTAAAAAAATCTCCACAAAACCCATTCTGATAATATCATCATTGTATCTAAAGTCTCCATAGTTAAATGTCCCAATCAGATTATAACTGGGTCAAGTTTCAAATCGTCATTTATATACAAAGTGACTACCCTCTAACAATAACACAGTTCAATTATTTATTTCATTTAGGTATTATGCATTTTATATGGCAATCAAATGATAACCAATAATTGAGTCTCTCAATAAAATGTAAACAAAATAAATGTAAAAACTGTCACACTTTCTTTAATATTAGATTGGTTATAATGTGTTTTAATGTAATGAAGACAGAACAATCGTAGACAGACAATCTTGTTAGTCGACCTTGAGCTCTCATATAATGGGAAATCAATAATGAAGGCTCTTATTTCTATCATATTAGTTGTTAGGAATATAAACAGTATATTGGATGACGTTTATCCCATTTATTACCATTTGGATCATTTAAAACTGGTTAAAAGTGAGTTTAATATCAATATTGGTCAAATATTCTTATATAATTGTTTTTGAATAATATGTTTTTTTTTAAAGTTGGTCCGTTTTTCAATGTAGAGGTTATACTTGGGTAAATTCCTCAATTCGAAATTACTTTTCATGACAGAATGATGTCAGTTAGAGAAACACTGGGAAAAAAAGAGATCACTCTAGTTTGCAACTCTTCAGTAGTGTACATACAAATGGCCTTAATATTTTGTACCTAGTATGATACTTTTAGACGATTAAGTTGGAATTCATTGGTTAACATTTCTAGATTCAGTTAACATTTAATATAGTTCTACCACCGTCCAATATCACAGACAATATCTGTCTCAGTCTTTACATGAAAGATAAAAAACTGAAGGTGTAAACTGGGTTATTTTGTATTTTGATTCAATTTGATATGGTAAATAGAAATTGTGAAACTAAGAAGTAAAACCGTATCCAGATTAAATCTAATCAAAATCAAATAAATTATTTAATTAACTCAGGATTTTCTAGTTCTAACAGTAATCCCATGAATAGCATTAATCATAAAATATCTTATGCCCAAAATCATTTATTATTTTTAATAGTTCAGAACAAAATCTTTTCCACAAAACTCCAGAAAACTAATCATATTCATTTGTATGAAAATCTATCATTGAAAATATGCATGGACGAAACGGCCATCCAGTGATTCCAGGTTTTCCATGGTGGTCTAGCTTCAACTGACTCATGATCTAAATCGTTGAAATATGCGTGTAAGTAGACAGGATTTATCGAATCATGATTTTCACACAAAAAATAAATATTCAAATAACCCATAGTGTCATTAAATAAGACAAAAAGAATTTAGCGAAGAAAATTTTCGTTTCGACGAAATCATTTACTTAATCTGTACATTCGTATACATAGTTATCTGATAAGATATATGTCTATAGGAGAATAGAAAAGATTGAATGATAAAATGGATTCAAGACTAAATAACAAATAAGGTAACGTACTAATCAAAGGTTAAGGAAGAAAATAGTTTATGGGTTAGCTAATAGTGAATGAATATTCGCTGATCAATTACTCAGTATTCCGTTGTGACTTGAAGTGCTTCATTATTAATTAATTAATTTTCAGAATGAGTTTTGTGGAGATTTTAGTAAATTTCACATGTTGAAATCATGAGTCAATTGAAGCTAGACCACCATTGAAACCTGGAAGCACTGGACGGCCGTTTCGTCCTAGTATGGGACTCCTCCACAAACCCGCCCTCGCGGGATTCGAACCTAGGGCCTACTGACTTCGCGCGCGAGCACTTAACCATTAGATCACTGAGCCGGCATCCAACGGTGTTAATGTCTAACTTCAACCAATCCACGAAGTTGCGCCACCGAACACCATTGTCTTCAGTGAGCTGATATCTCACAACAGACCTGGTTGAACTCCACTGGTGACGGCTTCTCACTAGAACTCCAGGAGGTTCTCCTGAAGTCAGTCACTAGTGAGCAGTGATGGTCTAGCTTCAACTGACTCATGATTTCAACCTGTGAAATTAATTAATTGTTCATTCAGTCTTTTCTAAAATCGAAATTAATGATTAATTACTTCAAAATATATTAGTCATAATCTTTTAATTCAATTAGGTTAGTAATGGCTTGATTATCTTAATATTTTACTGATGAGAATAATATTCACACCTTTAGTCTTGTTAACCGTATGTTTTCCTCTAAAAAGACCAAGATTTATGTACCTCTCTAAGCCATTCACTAATGACTAGCTTTATTTCAGATCTTAATTGTAACTGCCCTAAACACAAATAGCGGAAAATTTAATTTTGAGTTCAGCTTGGTGTCTTTTCGCTTTTCAATTCCCATAATTTTCTATGACTGTGAAAATAAGGTTTAATTACATGAATTTTTAATCTATATATTAAGCTTCTTGGCAACGCTTGTATACTTCCAGCTGTGTACTTAGGCAAATATCAATGTGGAGTCTGATACAAATATGTGTTAGCTTATGTTAGTATATTACATGAGCGCAGCTGGATCAAATCAGGAAAATGAGTACCAAAAGTGTCCAAACAACCTCATTAACAATTATAGTGATAAGGACTAAGTGTTAGGAATATGGTTCAAGAAGATGGAATCTAAAGGTTTGTATGAAGGAATACTGGGTCACATGATCTAGAGAAAGGAAAGTAATGGAAGTCATGATTTGCCTGAAAAATTGAGTTGAGAGTTAGCTAATAACCCATACTTGGCATCAAATGCAGATCTCGCCAGACGAAAAATCACAGAATTCTGATGCAACGTTTCAGATTGGTAGAAAGGTTTGCAGGTTATTAGTTCGAACTCATACTATTATGCCTACACTTTAAGAGTCCAAAACCAGAAGAAGAATTTCCTCATTCTGAATGTTTCACCAAAATGATTTCAAATATATCTGGCTTATAAGTATCAGTCAAAATGAAACGAAGATATACGACTTATATACCAAAATGTTCCCAACAAACCGATACTTTGGACAATAATATAAATTTCATCCATATCAATATTTTCAGAAGTTTCCTTTTTTTTTAGGTTAGGAAGTAAAACTTTGTGATTATATATATATATATATATATATATATATATATATACATATATATATATATATATATATATATATATATATATATATATATATATATCACTACCATACTTCCTTCCACCATCTTACTTTACCATATTCTTCTATAAACAATATTATTTTATTGATATTCGGAATATTAAGATAAACAATTTTCATAAAATAAATTTAAGCAGACAGAAAAATCAGTTAATTCTTTCATTATAGCTATTTTAATGACACTTCAGCAGATGTTAGATTACCTTCAAATTAGTGAATTGCGTATAAGTACATCCATCTGATGAGTTCCAAATAGGGGTAAAACCTTCATTCTAAATTCCATTACTAGCCACAATCCAACTTCACAAAAACTTGAAACTAAGTGAAAATATCGATGCAATTTGCACAGCATACACATATCTCAGTAAGACTGATCAGTTACGGTCCACTCGATACCATCAACGGGAAAATATAGATTTTTATAATCGTTTTGTTGAAATGTATGAAAATCATGTATTATTTGAAAACTATTTGACAGAACTATTTTGTAGTTCACATTACGAACTGACTTTAGTAAGAGAACTATTGAGAATCAGGAAGCATCGGATAGATATGTCATCCTAGTGCAGAACTCTTCAGAAGTACCTATCTACAACCTCACTGGGTGTAGAACACAAGACCTTAACACCTCACTGCGAACATTCAACCTTTCAAATCACTTAGCCACCATTCACTGGTTTACATTTCTAAGTCCAACGAATTCATGATATTGTGTAATCAATACCGGTAACTACCTCATACCCAACACTGTTTGATCTCACTGGCCACAGCTTCTCACTAGAGTTCTAACAAATGCGTCTCAAAATTTTCCCTTAGTGACTATTATAAATGTAAGGCTATTGTAGTGTTGTTAAAACCAAGATTTAACAATCTCCACAAACTCCTTACACTAAAAGTATGTTATTTAATATACCATGAATAAACCCTCAGTCTGGGCACACAAAAACTTTAGAAACACAACACCACATATAGCATTTTTAGTTAAGGACTAAAATACTATCTGGATTAAACTTCACCAATAGTATGGTAAATTGTAAGAAAAACGCCATTTTTAGATTCTTGATAGTAAAACACAAAATTTAGTTAATTTCTCATAAAAAAACATCCAGACCACACATTATGTAATATAAATATTGTTTTACTTAAATAATTACTTTATATAAGACAAAATTTAGCTTTAGTTTGGTTCCTTGTTTTGTAACAGATATGAACAATCTGTCAGTTTTTACAAAATAGAAATCCCTATTTTCAATGCTATAAACAATATAGTAACCTGTTTACATTAATGAGCCATCAGTCCTCCAACTGTCAGGAAAAAATATTGTAACAAACTTATGTTTCAAATTTGTTTCAGTTATATTTTGAGTACATGTACCAATGCGTTTTAATAACCTATCGTGAAAATAATTAATACAAAACACATAAGAAACTACTACTACTACTACTACTACTGTAGTGTGTGCTACTTAAATTGACATAAGCAGTATATAATGCGAGTCAGTAATGTAATGTCTGGCAGCAGAAGATTGGGAAGATCAAGAAAGGAAGAACAAGAATAGAAAGCAATTAGTATAGAAATGCAAGAACAACGAAGTCCGAGAAAATTATTGAACAATTTGCAAATTAGGTATTATAGTATAGTTTTTCTATTTTACCTAATAACTGTGTAATGTCGTGCTAAGAATAATCCGGTTGTCCTCACCTGTGTTCTCCTTCACTACTACTACTACTACTACTACTACTACTACTACTACTACTACTACTACTACTACTACTACTACTACTACTACTACTACTACTACTACTACTACTACTACTACTACTACTACTACTACTACTACTACTACTACTACTACTACTACTACTACTACTACTACTACTACTACTACTACTACTACTACTACTACTACTACTACTACTACTACTACTACTACTACTACTACTACTACTACTACTACTACTACTACTACTACTACTACTACTACTACTACTACTACTACTACTACTACTACTACTACTACTACTACTACTACTACTACTACTACTACTACTACTACTACTACTACTACTACTACTACTACTACTACTACTACTACTACTACTACTACTACTACTACTACTACTACTACTACTACTACTACTACTACTACTACTACTACTACTACTACTACTACTACTACTACTACTACTACTACTACTACTACTACTACTACTACTACTACTACTACTACTACTACTACTACTACTACTACTACTACTACTACTACTACTACTACTACTACTACTACTACTACTACTACTACTACTACTACTACTACTACTACTACTACTACTACTACTACTACTACTACTACTACTACTACTACTACTACTACTACTACTACTACTACTACTACTACTACTACTACTACTACTACTACTACTACTACTACTACTACTACTACTACTACTACTACTACTACTACTACTACTACTACTACTACTACTACTACTACTACTACTACTACTACTACTACTACTACTACTACTACTACTACTACTACTACTACTACTACTACTACTACTACTACTACTACTACTACTACTACTACTACTACTACTACTACTACTACTACTACTACTACTACTACTACTACTACTACTACTACTACTACTACTACTACTACTACTACTACTACTACTACTACTACTACTACTACTACTACTACTACTACTACTACTACTACTACTACTACTACTACTACTACTACTACTACTACTACTACTACTACTACTACTACTACTACTACTACTACTACTACTACTACTACTACTACTACTACTACTACTACTACTACTACTACTACTACTACTACTACTACTACTACTACTACTACTACTACTACTACTACTACTACTACTACTACTACTACTACTACTACTACTACTACTACTACTACTACTACTACTACTACTACTACTACTACTACTACTACTACTACTACTACTACTACTACTACTACTACTACTACTACTACTACTACTACTACTACTACTACTACTACTACTACTACTACTACTACTACTACTACTACTACTACTACTACTACTACTACTACTACTACTACTACTACTACTACTACTACTACTACTACTACTACTACTACTACTACTACTACTACTACTACTACTACTACTACTACTACTACTACTACTACTACTACTACTACTACTACAGTAATTGATGTATTTTTCTTTGGAAAGCGAGAGGCAATTTATTTAAAATTCATACATGAAATGCATTTTATATAATAAAAATTAAACATGGTTGGAGCTAAACCATTTTTCAAAAGCATTTACAGATGAATGTTAATAACTTATATGTGATGAATTTGAAAGTCTTGTATTAAAATAAATTATGATTAAAATATTGTTGTGATGGCTTCCGAGAACTACAACGAAACCTCCAGAGGCCCTAGAGGAGCCGAATAGTTTCATCCAATCAGGACGTAATGGCGCTTTCTAGAATATCAACGTGGTATGCTACTATTAACCAATAGCATAACATGCCTCTTTACGGATTGATTGAATTATAATGTTGATTTAATGAATGCTAATATCTATAAATACCCATAATTTTCTGTACATCTTGATTCTTGCCCAACAAGCACTTTCTCCAGTCTTCTTACGTCTTCTTATTTGCGACTTAGAGGGTTCTAACGTTTGAGTTCTCAAGTTATACGCGGTTTATTGAGAATATAAGCTCTAGATATAACAAATATATCTTCTGATATGTTACCTAATTGATAATATTAAGCAGAATCTTCTAAATTTACATAAATTATTGTTGACATTCATTTCAAAGTCCTCTAGTAATATCTCATTAACTGTAATTTTTTCCTTTAGTTTAAAAGGTTTTCAAGTAGAACTAACTTCGAATATGATTTTTCAAAGTTCCCTAACCCCCCCCCCTCCAACTTTATTATACATTGCAAAATAAGCTAAATCATAGGAATATGTAACTTGAATAACTAAAACGATTGAAAGATAGAAAGCATAAACATCATGACATTGTCATAAATATTCATTTTCCAACTATCATTTGTCATAGACACTTCTTACATTCACTTAATGTCATAACTTAATTTCTATGAAAAGTTAATTGTCAAAAAATGTTTTGAAAATAGAAACTAGTATCTTCCATATTTTCAAATATATAATAATTAGACCAACTTCAATATCTAAGTATCCAGGTATATTTGAACTAAACGACAAATTACTTTTCTTAATGCTATTGGTTTCAATGTATCTGACAATTCTAAACAACTAGTGAACCGATTATCTTAATTAAGTATAACAGTATCATCGAGAAAAAATTATAAAGATTGATTTCAAACTCCATCTAATTGATTCAATAAATCATTTAATGTTACATGGTAAATGAACGGAAACGTTTTGTAGTATCAAAAGAGGATAAATGACCGTTTAGATCAAACATTAAAGTGAATTGAAATCTACCTTAATGATTATTAGTTCATTTTTACTAGATAACTAGTAAATTTAGCGAGCTTAACATAGTTTTATTAGAAATAAGTCTTTCATTTTGATGGTCTGAACCACTAATTATATATGTAGATATCATAAAGTGTTGTGGAAATAGTTAAATTTAGATTTTCACACAGTAAACTGACCTTGGTTAGACAACCATTCGAAACTAGGGTACAATTAACACCTATTACATCCAAGTTTAATACTTCACAACAGTGGCCACTTATGGCCCTCCAGAGAACGGTAACAGGACCTTCAAGTTTCATAAATGCTTAACCTGAGTTGGAATTTATTATTTTTCATCTCTAATTGCAGTTAGTTCTCCATATCGTGCGACTACCGTCGATTCTCACCGGTGATATATGTCACTAGTGAGACATAATTGAAGCCCATTGGTCGAAGAAGTCATTCGAACTATGAGAATGACCTTTCAAAGTTAGACGCTAGGGTATAGTTCATTCAAATAATACTAGACACCAATATTTGCTAAACTATTCACTTCGACTTATAGCATAACCCTTTTAGTATCAAAAAAACATCATTAGTCAAGAGACTGTAATCTATCGCCAATATGTTTTTACATAAGTCTTCATCAAGAACTGATATCAACAGACAAATTACTAAATATTTAACTAATACAGGACAAAACCATTTTACAAATATAATCTGATAAATATCAGAAGGAGTTTTGTGGAGATTTTTTAGAAAATTCACTGATTGAAATCATGAGTCAATTGAAGCCAGATCACCATGGAACACCTGGAAGCACTAGATGGCCGTTTCGTCCTAGTATGGGACTCCTCAGCAGTGCGCATCCACGATCCCGAACCCCGCGAGATTCGAACACAGGAGAGTCCCATACTAGGACGAAACGGCCGTCCAATGCTTCCAGGTTTTCCATGGTGATCTAGCTTCAATTGACTCATGATTTCAATCAGTGTAATCTGATTAATACAAAAGGAAGTCAGAATTTCAAAAAATAACGGTACAATATTTGAAAACTGATTTTTACTGAATATCCGTTACAGATATGTCATTTATGTAAAGCATAAGATCTGAACAAAACACCTCGTGGTAGAGGGAATCATTTTAAAGTACAGCGTATTATTTTTTGGGATATAGACTGTAAAAATAGTCAAACATGCAAGCATAGAGTTATTTCGAATAATCAATTTATGAAAAACACGAATACACTAAAGAGACGCCATTTTTACAAGATGGAGAACATTTTAAAATAATACTTACCATTGTTTTACTATGAAAGGTATATTAAACAATTTATTCACTAATGATAAACGTTTCTATTCTTACTGTTTAGGCCTGTATTTCATTGACAGGCTACATAATACGCTTAAATTGTAGAAGAGATCCGATTTCATTGAATCAGCATTATTGGTGGTAATATGGCCTAGCAAACCTATCGACTCATACTCCTATTGTAACTGATTTTTCTTTTCTTGTTAAACATGGAATAAATCATTTAGATTTTTTGGCTGGAAGACTACAACGTCACCTGTACTAAAAGAAAAAGCAATGTTAGCTTATTCCAGTCCACATACAATGTTTATATAACCTTCTACAACCAATCTGAATAAAAGAAAAGAAGACATCTTAGGAGTTTAATTACAAGTGAATAAGAATTTGGTACAGTAAATAAGGTAAATCCCAATAGTTAGTGGACCCGAATTTAATCACTTTGTGACATAGTACGTTAGCCATTCAATAATATCCATAGGATTCTTGTTTTTCAAAGAAAGGTAGAGTAATTTAAGTATTGGAAAATGAATAAACCCTTTATGCTTTAAAACACCTAAATACAATTTCTATTTTTTTAATAGGACTGATTTGATATGCCAACTTTAAATGAACCACATAGAAAATTGAAATGTCTCTATGCAGGATACATATGTATCGAATCTAAACTCGGTAAGTTGCTTTTTCTCTTCCCTTCTACAGATAAAAAGACATTTCCAACTACACCTAAATTCCATGTTAAATTACTTATATCCTTAGCAAAATAATGATAGTGTGCTTAACATCACTTATATAACTGATACTCTGATAAACTAACGATTGGACATTTTTTAATAAATCTGTATTTATAGTCAATCAAAACAAAATCAGAAATTCTGTTTGTTTTTAAAACCAAGATGGTAATAATAATCGTACGAAATATTTGCTTCTAAATGAAGCATGCCAATTTTTCTTACCAGTTATACTGTATAAACAGTAATAGTCCTATATCGTTTCATTCTTTATGAGTTGAAATTAAATTGAATGAAGTCAAAATGATTGAAAAGCCATTTTGTTTACTTGAGTTTATAATAGAAATGTGAATATGAAATAAAAAAAATCTGCATTTTTGACACTTTTCACATAAACAGTTATTTCAAAGTATTACTTTTAGCGAAATGAAGAGAATTAGGAAACTTTTCTTAATGTATAAAGCACTGGATGGCCGTTTCGTCCTATTATGGGACTCCACAACAGTAGGCATTCACGATCCCAACCCGTGAGATTCGAACCCAGAACCTGTCAGTCTTGCGCGCGAGAACTTAACCTCCAGACCACTGAGCCTAAATCCAACAATGTTAATGTCTAACTTCAACCAATCCACGAAATCGTTCCACCATCCAATAATAAGAAGAAATGGCCATTCAGTGCTTCCAGGTTTTCCATGGTGGTCCAGCTTCAATTGACTGATAAATTAACTATTAGAAATTACTAAAATCTCTACGAACACCCTCCCTATCTGACTAGAATGAATTCATATTTAACAATTTTCTTAATTCCACAGGGTCATCTCTAAAGTAATAAAATCTGACAAGTAAACAGAGAATGGTGAATATTTTTTTATTGGACAGTTAATAAGCAACATCTTCCTCAAATAATAATTTAGATTATTTTGACAGTGTTGTTGTTAATAAATTAACCATTCTAGTCTTTTTAAAGCATATGACCGCCATAATAACTGTCAACTAATAAATTACGAATTACTGTATGAGAATCGAATAACAATTAATGCTACATTATAAAAAATATAAGTTAATTATCAACCAACAGAATATTTTTAAAGTTTTCTGGCTTAAAGAGGACATTATTGTTAGATGCGAGAGGAGAATTAGAGAGTAATGTAACATTTACAGTCATTATCGTAGATTAGTTATTCACTTGCTGCCGCAATTTTTCATCACTAATGACTTGTGTACAAATTATGATCTCTCATTTCTGGTACTTTGCGGTCGTGTGATTAATGTATGTAAACTTATTGCGGTTGCGTCACACTTATAAACTTATAGGGTTTTATGTAGGTCTTCTGACTGGCTATTGGGAAAAAAGTCCTTTGGAGCAGTATGATTTAAGATTTTCCGGTGGTTGTTGTCTGTTATTCCTGCTATTGATCGAAGTGAAGGTCATTAGTCTGATAGGTGTAAGGTGAACTAGTAAGAAGTAAACTCTGTAATCAAGTGCTCCGACCAACTGAGCAATATAAGAGCAATTACGGATTCTAGCTTCTACACACTGAATAGTTTCAGTTAACTATCATTGGTTTTGATTAAATCTGTTGATCCTTTCAAACATGAATCAAATGACATGTTTTGTCCTATTTTGAAATGATCATTTCTAATTACTAGTAACCGATAGATATTTGGTGCTCACAAGAAGATTTCGGAGCATACATAAATCACTTCGAACGACAGCGAATCCTACTACTGAACGACGACAAACATCGTATGTTCAGAGAAATGTAACCATGTACAGTACTGCTTCATTTTTATACACACTGAATAGTTTAGCTTTGTAAGCCCAAACTCCGACAGCGCAGATATTCTTGTTTACTTTACACTTAACAGCGTAATCAAATCACTTAATTTTCCTCCCCACCCACTTTAAAAATCCACCTTTGTAGTTATATTTACTCCACTCAACCTTAATTTAACTTGTATTCTTAAACGGGTTGTTCTTTTCAAGGTATGAGAACAATGAATCAGGCTATTCAAACTGTACTAAAGAACGTACATCCAAATCAGTGGCTTCCAGTATATGTTTCAATATCTCCATCAACAGTCAATTTCGTAAGAAATTTACAACTTAAAACCTAACGAACTTTTTTTCTGAATAAATGGTTTATTCAATCTTAAACCAAATCATGGCTTTAGGGACTTATTTAAATTTGAAAAACGTTCTTATTGCTAAGCATAATTATGCAAGTAATTTGCAAAAAAAATTTGATTGACGCACTGACTCTCTTCACCTAATTTTCTTTGTAAATAATGCCTTTTGATGAGACTTATCATGATAGTCGAACTATGCTGTGAATGCATGGAAGATATAAATGTTGTTTAAAAACATTCTGTTCACTACAGAACCTGGTTATCTCGGGTTCCATTCGATATGTTGTCTGATGTTTTCAAATTTAAATATTTCACTGGATGATATCATTTTATCGTGCAGAGAACTATCAATACATCAGAACGAAAATTCATAAGTACTTTACATTGTAAAAATTACGTTAGATCCTATAAACAGAAATTGTTTGATTGTGGAATAACTCAAACAGACTAAAACCATCCAGCTCCGAGAACAAAACTCCATCAAAGTCCGAAACCTCGCAGAAGTTATCACTATAAGTTACAGGTCTAAATCTTAAATAAATATGATAATAAGGAGTATTCAAACTGATTTTTTAATTAACGATTCTCAAAACAGTGCAATTTAAGACAGGTAGAACTAAATGAACACAACTAGACGAATTATATTTGAAATTCACAATAAAGCACCCAATCAAATACAAAAGAATCATCATTTAGTACGAATACCACAATAGGACATCACTCCTCTTAAAGTAATGAAAACATTATTGATAAACAGTGACAGAAATAAAACTTAGACTAAAGACCAAGTACTTAACATCATGCATAGAATATTTCATTGATATCTTATTTTCAGCTTGTTCATAAATCACTTAATCAACCCCATGTCTTTCTCCGACAAAATGCTATTTTGTCTTTTTCTTGTTGAATGTAATCACACTTAAACTTTATAGTTCTCATAATCCTAATGTAACTGTCAGTAATAACCAAAGTCTGATTAAAATGTGTTTATTCAACATGGAAGTAGCTTTAACCATGAACCGACTTCACCCATAAAGCTATTTGAAAGCTCTGTTACACTAATGACTTTAAAAGGGGTCATGATTAAGACTAAAATTCATGCAGGGAACACGGTAACTCTGAGTCACCATTCAATGATTCGTATTTCCGGCTACACTTGATTAACGATATTTTCGAGCTATCATTTAATGTTATCAATGAGAGCCGTCTCATCCAAAATGTGGTTGAAAACCACCAATCATGATTTGTCGCTATAACTTTAAGAACTCTCTCCCTCCCTTTCTGAAGTCAAAATATATTAGACTTCGCAGAACTGAGATTTTTCACTTAATTTTACTATTAAAACACATTTATAAACTGTTATAGATATGAAAACATCGACCGTTTGCTTGGTAATTAGTAAACTGTTAATACACATTTAGGTATAAAATAGTTGTATAACCGTTTTCCAAAAACAAATGTTGATTTGAAAGATATTAGCAGATATGAAAGTCAAACATTTAGTTTAGTATAGATTTTTTAAACTTGTTTATAGCCTAAACGATATTATTTTTCGGTAAACTATTTATTGTTTTGTTAATGTACTTGATAAAAAGATATTTCAAATCATTATCTTGAAATAATGAAGATTTACAGCCCAAATGGATGTTCTTGGAGGTGCTTTATTCCGTGAGCTAGATAGCTTAACTGTAGAACTTCGAGTGTTGCTCTGGTCGACCTCATCAGTCCCTACTTCACATGGAAGTCATGAAGTAAAGTGCTAATTGTAGTGAGCAAAGACACCACTGAGAACAATCGAGTACAGGACTTGTTAATAAAATCTAGCAATCATAAAGTAAATGCTTAATTTGCAAAATGTCCACCAATTGTCTCAAAATAACTCAGACTTCATTGTTTCTTGCATTTTCATATAAATTGCATTCTGTTTCCATTCTTTACTGTTCGATCCTCTTGTCTCTCTGCCGTCAAACCTTCTGTTCACGACAAACATCATATACTACTTATGTTAATATAAGTAGCACACACCACACTAATGATGCTCTTCAATACAATCATGAAGGCTCTTCAATTAAGTTATTTATCTAGATCGATTTTAAATTGAATGTGAAGCTACGTTTTACTACTCAACCAAACGGTTTCCAAATAGCGCCTTTTTAGCTTTTTGAAGCAAAACTCAAAAAGAAATGTCATGTAATTCCAATCCTGAAAAGTAACTTTGAATAATATAATTTTATGGAGTATTTAAAATTCTGTTAATCGATGAGAAAGAGTCTTGTGTACAATCATAAAGCATAAATGAAGCCATGTGACTGCATAGCATATAAGATGCCTAATAGTTCTAAAACAATTTGTGTTGACAACGTGAATCGGTAAGAACTAGTCCCCTTTCGGTTTGTTTAAAGTTAAATCTTAAAATAATCATATTCTGAATGATGCATACTTTTTCCCAAAACAATTTAAATATGAATATCAGAATACTGTATCATAGAGCTATATAGTTTAATTTATACCATTTTGTTCTCTCTTGTATTAGTATTATCAAAAACATATTGTTGTAAATCTTCGCGTTTGCTCAGTTCCATTTTTTGGGATTTACAATAAAGATGAAAAGTAAGTATACTGCGCCTTTTTTGTTACATCTGAATAAAATGATAGACGTTTAAACAAGAGAATCAGTAAAATTCTGTAGTTCATGTATGTAATGATTCATACAGAAATGATAAACTATAATTTTACAGAACTTTGGTTCGTATCTAAGCATTTTTGATGATTACGATCGATATCATACTCAAGCACTCAAGATCTATTAAAATCACTTCATCAAATCAATACTTAAGTAGTTAGTTCTTAATACTACTTCTGTGTTTATAGAAATATGCTTCTCTGATTATCAATGTACTAATATGAGCGAAGACTACCTGTTGTAATCCACACTGATTACACCTCGAATTTTCAATGTGGACACAAAAACAGCAAAGCAAACTGTAACGTATCCGTTTACCTTGTTTTCTCCAGTGCTTCAGTTGCGCACTCATTGTTAATGTTTTTTCCCTAAGGGCCTAATGGCTTATCCGACTTAGTTGGGCGGGACTAACACACTGATTTCACCAAACATCAAAGCCACTAGGGAACTTGAATTTGAAAGAATTTTAGTATAATAATAATATTAGTAGTAGTGCCTTTATTCAATATTATATTTTTGGTACAATATAGAATTCTCAGAGCAAAGAATTTCAACACGTTTCCTTTTCTTATTTCTTGATCGATCCTTGCGATAAATATTGAGTGGTCGCCAGTTAGATGTTAGCAGTTGAGGAATCAACATCTGAGTAATGTATATTGTTTTCGATGGGTATTGTCAGTAACTAAAATGTCTTTGATTGTGGTCTTTCCTAACTTGTACATTGAAATGTCGTAAACCTTTCACAAACGCTCCTGAATAGCTTATGCGACTAATGGGCATAATGATGTGTTAAAATAAACAAGAAAACAGAAAATCTGTTGAAATATCCATATGGCAGGCACAGGTAACCCAGATATTCAAACAGGCCACCTGATATTATTATACTTAACTAAATCACAAGATAGTCATTAATTTGACAAGTTAATACAAGAATCTTTAATAAAGTCATGAATTTGCAACAATCAAAAGTCTAAAATTATGATTTCATTTGATCTAAGCTCTAGTTGAACAAATACAAATTCTCGAATCATTCATCCATACAACAATAAAAAATAAACATATTCAACTGTTTGTATTAAGTAGGAATATTGACATTTTGACTAAGCTTTAAATTTTCTGTAAACATTTCAAACTATAATATATCACAATTAATATTACATAATATTTAAGTTTGTAAAGTTACTTATAGACTATGAAACCCTTCACATTACCTTCAGTGCTGTTTGAATGAACTAATGATTCTATTGTACTTGTTCAATGCTTGATTTCGAATTCCAAATACAGTGCATCCGTTCGTGCTTATCTAGTACTTCATGGTCCGATTACGTTATTTCCGGGATTCTTAGTTCGTACTATAATTCAAATACTCCCAATCATCATATTGGCGTCGCGACTGAGCCTATGATGGAACGGTTGGACATACATTCAGATTTTGATGCTTTTGAGGATTACTTTGAAAGGTTCGAAATCTGGGCTATGACTAGGGAAGATGATGAGGATGTTAATATTGTAGCACATTTCCTCACATTCATCGGAAAAGAAGCATACAGCTTAGTAAAAACTTTGGCTTTACCGGAAAAGCCCATTTCGCTTTCTTATACAACTCTCAAGGATCTACTGCTAGACTATGTTAAGTATACAAATTTCGAATGTGGTAAAGGAGGAAGATTTTGTAAAATGATTCATGAAGATATAAAAAATTCCACTACATTACTACGTCATCCTAACCCAGTGCATACTCAAGGTTATGCAGATAATTCATTGAGGAGTTGCGATGCAATTCACGAAGATGGGCACAAATTTGGTCAATGTTTATCCCTTGGCAGGTTCCACTCTCTTAATTCATGTAAATTTCATAATTCTAAGTGCTTTAAATGTGATGATATTGGACATATTCAGTCAGTTTGTAATACTACTGTTCATTTTGCTGCAACTAATATTAAGACTTGTAATTCTGATTCTATTAAGTTGAGTATTTATAATGATTCTTAATTCATACTATAATTCAAATACTCCTAATCATCATACCTTCTTTCACTTAAAAGTTATGAGAAACTGGATAGAAATATTTCTTTGTTATCTTTTATTTATTTCATATACCTTTTCTTCTCAAAAAAAATTACTTTTCAGAATTTGTGGTATTATACAACATACAGCTGATAATTTATTCTTATGTCATGTTTTAACTTGTCCAACAAATGCTATGGAATTATGTAAAACACTTAAAGCAGCTTGTGAAGTAAGCCATTACAAAATGATTCTATTTATAAATTTTATGATAATTAGTGAGATACATTATGAATAAAATAAAATTCACTTCCAGTTTCATAAGTTAGTGACTACTTAGATTAAGTAGCTCAATAGATAATTCATTTAAAGTTTATATCGAAAAGTACAAAATTTAAAGTTTTAGTATTAATATCACAATTGGAAAGAAGGTACATTCAGTTGAAAAGTCCTAAATAGTATGAAATACGCTTCGTTGATTCCATCATTAGTTAATATTCAACTTTACTTAATAACTCCCGGACGTTGTTGCTACCTTGACGTGGTGGTCGACCTTGCCTATTGTGATGAAGCAACCGAGCTATACTGGCTGGAACAACCGTTCCTCAAGGTCCTACCATGTTAGACAGGTCGGTTGAAGAGCGGTAAGACTAAGAGCAACAAACCCAAGATCCGAAGGCGAAGTCGTACTGCTGACTGTACAGAGGTGTGACAGCAGTAAGGTGTTTCCTTCAGACAACCAGCATGACAGCGATGCTGCCTTCCCTCAAGGAGGGGTGGGGTTAGAAAAGATCGACCCTAAAGATGCACACCTCACCTTATCCCACGGGTATCCGTCTCCAGCGGTAAGGTCTCAACAAGTACGGAGCTAACACAATAATTACTCATAAAAAGGTCGTATGTGACCGACCTCAAGTAGTTGTCCCTTGGGCACTGCGGTCACGCTCTTAGGCCACTAAGACCACCTCTAATCCAATTACCTTTTCAGATAACTCCAGAAGAACCCTTCCACGGTGTGGGAAACCGGGAAGTGATAACCTCCCTCATACCTCTAGCAGCACTCAAGACCACTGTATTCGTAATCAACCTCCCTTTACTTAATAACTAGGTAATCGATAAAATTATAGAAATTCTGTCTTAGTGCATAAAACATATGAATATAAGATCTGATTTCGAAATGTATACATTTTGTTAGATAAGAGAATCCATTTCATTAGATTAGCTAAAAACTCATAACAAACTCCATTAAAACAAATAATATCTCTTTAATTCAATATATTGATATGAATAAAAACAATCTAGGTAAGTCCAAGGGTTAGAAAATAAAGAAGCTTCAGCAAGAAGACAGAATATTTCATAGAAATTATTTGAATAAGCTTCCATTAACTTAAGAAATAAGTCCCAAAGTTTGATAACGAGTTAACAAACTATTGTACGGAACCACTTAGAAATAAATCAACATTTATAAAGAGTTTAATATATCCAAAAAGATTAAATTTGTTATATATTCATCTCATTGTTATTGTCTGCGAACTTCATATATATTCACTTCTGGGTTTTTCGTTGAATTTATATTTGTCGTATCTTAATACTGTGAACATTAATTGTACGACTGATTGAGTACTGAGTAGTGACTAATGCCATGTTACTCTAGTCGTTTAGTGTTGATAGGATTTTATTGAGCAAGCTGAAATAAGGCCACCGGTATGAGTGACTTGATATTATGTTGGAGTGTTAGGTGGTTTAAGGTAATGAGCAGGAAACCATGGACATAAGTTTGGTGCTATTTGACACTCATCAACAAAGCGTATCTACAAATCCGATCACCACCAAAGGACTAAACAAACATGAATTCTCACTACTAAGTGACCAATCAATTGAAGATATCCCAATCCTACAGGTAAGTTGAGATCCGAATAGCTCGGCAGTAACACCTCAGATTGTGAAGCTAAGTGACCTGAGTTCGAATAGCACAGGGAGCATCAATGCCCTCGGAGCTTCACGTATGCTACGCTGACCATTGACAGCAAACTCGAAACCTAGGCCGCGTTTCCCGTCGACTATTTCCAATCACCTAGAACTAAACGTACTATTATTTGATCTTAAAGAAGTACATATTATAGAAAAGCTGAGAAAATAAAAATAAACTTAAGAATTATACTCGTCATCGAACTGGGATCCACTACTTGTTAATAATGGCCAATTTCAAACTTTGAGAAATTGTTGAATTCACAAAATCCTTCCGAACATTTACAAGACTTGTTCATTAATGAAAAACCAGCGATCATATTTGACTAAGCTTTAAAAAAATAATCAGAAATATATTACATATTACCCTCTAAGTTTACTTCTTGCAAGTACTTTTGACTACCAACGGTGATTCCTAGTTGCTTTTATTAACTGTCCAGAAGTATATATCATACAAAATTCATAGACATTCTTTTAAAACCAATAACAGTTAATTTCTTGTGCATTTTCCATGCTGTTCACCTGTTTTCATCCATTTACAATTATTTTTGGTCTTTTAATATTTCTCACTAATATCAGTATCATTATTATTACTTTGTAATCTCTAACTTTCCGCTCATTCGGTTTAAATGAATTGGTAAATCAAATCAGTAGATATTTGTACCAGGTTTAATACTATGTAAATCTATGTCTACCTTACATTCGTGGCACAAGTGAATGATATCAAGTAGACAATGCACTGTACTCTATATATTTTAAACTTAAAATAATATCACCCTGGAATTTCATAATAGGTTTGTACCAAATTGTGCAATAATCATCTCGAACTGTGGATTGCGGACACTACATCTATGAAGCAGATTGCCCACTCAAATCGTTTAATAAGTATTTGCTATAAATACATTAATAACAATTGACTTATTTCAAAAGAAACACTGAAACTAGTCAGACCCGTTTCCCATTTAGTTTGTTTGGTGTAAATAGATTGAAACCGTAGGAGAGAATAATTAAAATATCTCGAATTTCCAAAGACCATATTTCAAAAGCTATGGCATGTAAGACTTGAATAAACTAAAATCCGATAACCAGTTATAATTTAACCAACCAGGATATAATGGTTGTCCTAATTAAGTTTGTAATCTTAACAGAATAAAATTGCTAAAAAATCTCCTGAGATTGATGGTCTTATGAATCACAATTGTATGAAAGTGGTTGTTATTAAGAAACTGCACGGACCTAATAATTACTTATGATTATTAAACATCATCCTAGTCGGAGAATTTAAATTAGTACTGAATCCCAGTCACTCTTTTAATTCTATCTTGGTCAAATTACTGTGAAGTGAATTATGATCATTCCTGGCACTAAGCTCTCTAATCTCAAGAGACGATCTCCTAATACACCAGATTAAACTATGTCACTTCTGGTCCTATGCAATAACAGGATTATATGAATTTAACGATCAGAAATTAAAAAGAGTAAATTTATCAATTATTGTTGCAAATGAGAGATAACTTGATTTTTACTGAAACTGATTTAGCTAAAGCTATGTCTAAAATTTCATTCCTGCAGTTACGCTATCAACAATGTGTGGACTCAAGAATGTTTAACACTCACAAACCAAGTAATAATTCATTAGATGAATCAAAAACGAGATTAGTAGAACATTCAGATGTAAGTTTTTTTCTTAAAAGTATTAATAATAATAGAATGATTATTTTTGGCAAAGATCATCTCATCAGCACACTTAATTGGCAATTATGTTTAACGTTTACAGTCACACTAGATAAGTAATGAGATTCGGTCCAACTAGTGACCAGATGTAATTTAAATGAGCTGAAAGACAAAACTTCGAAACTTCTAAACCTCTGAGATTCCTCACGGTTTCGATTACTCTTTGTTGCTGAATGTCGATAAGCATAAAAACCAGGTTTGAGATTTATAACTACCTGGAAATAACAAACGCACAACGACACCATGTCAATACCATTACGTTATTCATCACATTGTCAGCTTCATTAATAAAACCCGGTTACTACAGTAAACAAGACAATAACTTCACTTAGTTTCAAACTTACTACCTACAATGAACACGTCAGACAGTTCCAACTATTACCCTTAAAGGTCAAAAATGGTGAGATAATAACCTACAAAGTTTCTATACACTGAATGATGCATGTACCATTAAACCATGAGATCAGTCATTGCTCTGGTAGATTTACTCAAACTTTAAGGTATACGACGTTGGAACACCAACTACCCATAGGTCAACCTGACTAACAAGTCTTGGAGATTTAAAATTAGTTAATAGATAACGAGCAAATACTTGGTACAAATTTCTTGTAATGTATGCCGCTATAGGTTAGAGTTATTTCATATAAACTTTTTCCCATTCTAAAAATATACAAGCATTCAATCCAAAATAGACTGTCACGTTATCTTGTTTGTTGGCTATATGATATCAACGCTGGTAAACCAGAACATCACCGAAGGCGACTGTTCAGAGGCGAAACGTTTACAGCTCGAATAACTCAATATAATCAGTAGACTACTAAGTTTTAAAACACTTTTTCTCGAAAGTCTTCAATTCATTAAAATATAGAGATGAAGAATTTTTTCATTCCCAATAAATTTTACTAATTTGACACAGAAGCAGATAAAGAATGAACAAATTTTACACATGAATATCATCAGTCAAATGGAAAAAGTAAAGTGTGGATTATTTCGAAGAATCTATCAACAGAAAAATTGGGTTAAATTTAATTTATTACCCTATTCAAGTGATGTAAGTCTATCGGATAAGCCAAAATTCTACGATGAATATAATAAAGAAACTACTGACTTTCATCATTTATTATAATTTATAAAACTGTACACTAATTACTGTTATTCTTCAAGACGATGTTAGTAACATAAATGTCTTACTTTTTATGCAGTCACTTTAATAATGTTTAAACAATTGCATTGAACTTGATCTTTTTTTAAACCTTCGAGATTGTGCGCAAAAAACCCTAAACAGCACAGGTTATGCATGGTAGTAAGCAGAATACTACATTTGACTATATGGAACTACCAAATTGGTAATTCCCGTAACATACTCTAACACTTGATGAAAGCAGCAACTGTTTCATTTAGATCCATGTAATTGAATTAAAGCCATACTTTAAGTGTTAGGGTTAGTGATACTATACGGTTGCCCAAAATGAAGTGCGAAGAGTGAAGTTCAGAACTGCTACTTAGTATCTAAAAGCCGGACACCTTAAGCCCTGAACTATTGTTCCACTTTATCAATCATACAAATGAGAATAAATATACTTTTCAAATTACCCGTTATACATATACTCATTTACCAAGTACAGGTTTTGGTACTCAGTACTGAGCCAAACTGTCGAGTAAAGGCTAGTGTCATCAGCCAAACTAGATAGAGAGTTAAACCTGTGACCGATCGAAAATTCGAATTAATTAACCAATAAGTCATCGTTCGACACGAGTTGGTAAGTAGCATGAAAATATCAAAACCTAGTATTAACTGCTTGGAAGATGACGTAATTTCACACTGTATGCAGAAAAGTTTAACTTCGACAAAAAACGAAGCAACCGATACCCCTCTACACAATGTTGAAAGCTAATTCTGATACCAAAACACGTGGCTAGACGTTTACAACTACATCACACACATGACTGGATCAAACTCACTATTCACTAACATCCTAGTAGAACGCAAAACTTCCTTATGCGCACTTCACTTCTAACCTTGGCAAATGGCTAACAGACACTGGAAGCGCCACCGCATATGAAATAAATGAACTCGTTTAACAAATTAGTATCACTTCAAATATATATACAATTAATAAAACAAGAAAGAAAAGTAGTGATCTTTATGTAAAATTTGCCAAAGGCTTCAACAAAAACTCGGACCAATTATTTACAGATACTGATTGTTCTTCCTGTAAAGAAAATGAAGATAATGGTTTTTTTGGAAAGGTTTCAATCGCTCTCAATGTTTCATAACATGAATAACAAAATGAATAAAATGGTCTGCCCCCCCCCCTATTTTGATGGAAAAGGCTAACAGTTGTCTAGTTTATATCGTGACACCATGACATGAAAGGTAGCTGTATATGACTGGCATCCACTGATCCATCTCAACTCTCCAGTTGTGGTTTTAGAGACTCTTCAACCGAATGACGAGTTAAGCCATAGGGTGTGACTCAGGATGAAAGCCAGTGGACATGCCGTTACAGTTTCCGATTGTTATATTTCAAAAACGTTAGATTAACTTTGTTGACAGACTAATTTTAACGGAAATACACCTCTTAAAAAAGGGTTTCAGTTGTTTGTGGTTATTAAGTATACAGATTTTTCTTCTTACATTTTCTCACAACATTATCACTTCAGTTGTAGAGCACATTTTTGATCCCCTAGTAAATCCCTACTCTATAGAGAAGAGTAAACAAATGGCGATTAGTATGATGTCCGAAGAAGTTGGAAGTATGTGCAGTTTACATAAATCAAGAGACATTTATTTTGTCATACTAGGCATACATTAAAGACAATGATCAAAACTAGTGAAAAAAATGACCGACTGCAAAAGAAAATTAGGACTTCTTACTCAAAAAGCGGTTAGTCGTGCATTAAACCCATGTCCTCTCCAAATATGGATGAACCAGAAAAACATTTGCCTAATTGATTTTGGCATCTAAGACTTTCTAAAATCTGCAAGCATATTCACAGGCCCTGGGGTGTATGCGTGAACAGAACTTGAGGTAAAGTCACCAGCGAGTCTAACGTCTTCCAACATATTTGAGGTTCAAAATATTACGAGCTCTAAATTAAAGAGTCGGTTAAGCTAATAATATGATAAGAACTCGACCTTAAATATAACACTAATTCACAATCCGCACTAATGAAAATGGCGGGTAAAATGAAAACTTGTAAGTACTTACGCTGAATAAAGCATGGTAGACGAATGGATGGTTGTACACAGTGATATCACTTTGATAAAAACAAAGAGTTGCTAGACGGTCAAAAATGAGACAAGTCAGCTTATCAAGAGTTTGATCGCCGATCACAAGTTTGGTTGAACAATTTAAATTAGAAGTTAAACGAGAGAGTTTTAAAAGTATGCCGAATTCCTGATAATAAGCGTCAACGAGATCTTGATCTGCAGAACCCTGAATATAAGAGCTAATGTTTGCAGAATTGGACGAATCCTCACTACCAGATAAAGGTGATTTTGAGGAAAGATCTGTTGCTCGGAGATATAAACTTGCCAATGAATTCCATAATTCGTCAATCTGGAATGTATAATAACCAAGGAAGGGATATGTGAAAAAACAAAGCTTAGAAACAAATTACGACACCAAAACCGGTAATTTGTGACCACGCCCAAAAGAAATACAACTTTCAGAAATTTTTAGACAAATGGTGGGTAATCAGAAGCACCATAGACAAGTAGCTTTTAAATAATAACGAAAAAAGTAAGCTACAAACTACAGGTGAAGAGACGTCAAGATGAGTCCGCATGGTAACTGGTAACTACAGTGAATTCACTAAAAACTTGTTTCACCAATTTGATATCATAGTTTCACAGCTCTCGGATGAACCCTTTGCATCGATCGAACTGACCTAAGCTGTGTTCAATTCCACGCTCTCGATCGTCAGGAAACACCACCATATGATACCAGAAAGTAGTACCTCTTGAGAAGAGGTTATAGACTCTGCAATGTGTGAGAACAGTTCGAGAGGAGGGAATGACTCTTCCCACTTTCCTATTTACCAGAAGGTTTGGGGAGAACAACCAGTTTATTCCTATATCATTTAGATCCATATTGTTATGGTGGAGTAGCAGTACATGACTATGATTAACTAAGCAGCATCAATATTATTACAAGGTTTCGACACAAACAAGGATATAACCAAGACAACATTTATAGAAAATAAATCGTAGATAATATCGATAACTTACAAGATATTTTATAAAACTGTCATATTGTTGCACATTCTTTGATTTTATTACAACTAAAAACTGCACGCCAACATTGAAGTAATTCATCCTCTTATGAACTATGCCACTAACAGTTAAACAATATGCCAATCTAATCCAATCGAATAAAAAGTGAGCTGGATCGAATTTGGATATATTACAGGGAAATTCGCTAGATAAATATGTTACCCAATAGTTAGTTAACTGTTCAAGTCGATTAATAAGTTCCATTTGAGAAATCGAATATGTGCCGTCTATAATAAAGTATATGACAAAAATCACTATACTAATTACAAACTATAATTCAACGAAACTACATGTAATTCGCAAAACCATTAGATATAGGGTAGCTTAATGAAGATTTCTTCTTGCCACGATGTAATTTCAGCCCCATGCTTAATTCTAAATCCCAGTCACCAATTAATAAAATTGCTAAGATTCACAGCCAAAAAGTAACACAGTAATAATTAATGTGAAGGAACATGAGGGATTAGGTTCCTACAGAATATGTTTTTAATCTTAATGTTGGGAGAGAAGCGTAGCATGAAACATTACTGTCAAAGTACTCAACCCTTAAATATTGAATAAAATACACAAATCCTACTTCACCTACTTTAATTTCAGTAGCTGGGTAACGAACCTAGTCGTCGAACAGTAAATCTAGAAAACTTCGAGAAATACGGATTTTGCGTAGAATCTAAGAAAAACGAGGAACTTTAGTGGGCAACCAAATTGTTTGTTCGCCGTTGAGGAAGGAATGCAGTGTGAGGACTGTAAAGAGTGGTACCACAAAATGTGTACACGCCTAAGTTCGATGGCATACAAAAAATGCTCGAAGCCTAACTCGCATTGGCTTTGTATGTTCTGCTGCACGGATAAAAAGGTACTAATTCAGGAGGCTATGGGCCTATTGGCTTTGGCCTGCAAGAAAAACGATGACACATGTGCTGACAACACAGGCACTGACTGACGATTGCGTCAGTGCAGTACCTGCTGTTACGCGACACCTCAAACAACCGACTCTGACCGACGTAAAAGTGAGATCGCCATCAACATTAACAAGGGGAGTAATACCACCTGGTACTGACAATGATAACAATGCACCTTTAGTGCGAACCGACGAACTGGATAAAACCATCACCGTTCCAAATAGTCCCAATGTCCTGAGGGATGAAAAATGGACTACGGTACGTAGGAAACGAAACGAAAGGAAAAAAGCTGTAGGCAGTACACAGGTAGTTAGTAACTCACTGATGGACTCTCACTGTGAGTCACATGCTACACTACCAAAATCTGATGGTAAGAGTGAAACCCATCCTGGCGTGACTGAGAAGAAAAATCAAATAACAGCTAAAACTAATGACTGTTTACTTGATAAGTCCTTGGTGGACTCTCAGACCAATCCGCCAAAGCTCCAAAGTAAAGCTTCGTCTAACAGTGTTGTGAGTCACTCATAGGACTCTGTTACAATAAAAGCTAATCGTAAGATACCAGTAGTTAATATACAGGATCTATCGTCACGGTCAAAAGCTGTTAACACAATTTCAAAGGAAGCTAAACCCCTTCCTAGTTTAATTATTTGGAATCTAGGAGTCGAAAGATAACGACCCTGCTAGAAGACATGCACATGACCTGCAGTTAGTGGAGTCTGTGGTAAGAAATGTGCTACCTGAAGAGGTTTCAGGGGTACATATTACAAAATTAATACGACTTGGTAAATGGGTTGGAGGCGAGACCCAACCAGGAAGAATCCTGAAGCTGGTTCTCGGGAGTTTCGAAGAAAGAGACATATTATTGAAAAACGCACCAAAAACTCGTGACTCAAATATCCGTATTCGACCATATTGGCCGCTTGAGGATCGAATCAAGTGGAAGAATGCTCTTACGGAGTTGAGGACTCTCAAATTAAATGGCGAAAATAACCTTACCATTAAGGGTTTTCGGGTAGTCAGGTCTTGGAAGCCAATGCTTCCGAGGCCTGTATGGGTAGAACGATTGATTGCCAGAACACCTTAAGCGTGTGCTACACGAACGCACGTAGTCTTAGAAATAAAACGTCCGAGCTAAGTCTGATGGTGGAAGAATTACGTCCCGATATAATCGTTGTTACAGAAACTTGGTTCACAGTAGATATAGAATGTTCTCCGTTCATTGCAGGCTATATCTGTATTAGAAGTGATAGAGTTTCAAGTCGCAAAGGGGGAGGTATAATATTATATGTTAGGGATCACTTTCGCATACAATCAACAATATCGGAGGCTCATATCAGTGGCACATGTGAGCTTGCATGTTGTAAGATTAAATCTAGAAGTGGGTTAGTGACTATAGGAAGAATATACCGTAGTCCGTTTTGTCTTGCTGACGACTTTATCCTAAGACACATCTGTTCTTGGAGTATGGCAGAATGTTGTCTCATCATTGGGGACTTCAACGCACCGCATATCAAGTGGATAGAGCTTACAGCTCCAGGTAGTAGTTTCGATAGCGACCTTTTATCTACCGTTATTCAGTGTGCACTTGTACAATGTATCACAAAACCGACACATATTGATTTCAATCATGATCCGTCACTGTTGGACCTCGCCCTCACCCACCACTGTGAGGATGTCTTTGATATCCAGCACCTTCCCCCAGTTGTGAACAGCGATCACGTTGTAATTCACTTTAAGTTTAGGACACATGGTATACAATTCGTATCTGCTCCACCCCGTCCCAATATCTGGCGAGCCAATATTCCGGCGATCAGAAACTGTGCTATCTCGACTGATTGGTCGGTCGACGCGGATGGATTGATCGAAGATGAATGGAATAAGCTTAAGGCTACATTCGAGTCCGTAACGTCGCCGTTTATCCCATGGTCAGCACGTAAGCTATCACACTGCCCTCCATGGATTAATAAGGAAACCCAGAAGCTGTTAAAGCGGAGGAAACATTTCTGGGACTTATTCTTGTTGACAGGTCATGAACCATTTAAGCGTGAGTACCAAAAATTCCGTAATATCTGTAAGAAAACCATAGCCAAATCCCGTACCACTTACGAACGACAGTTAGTATATGATAGCCGTACTTGTCCGAAACGATTGTTTTCGTATGTTAAACGGCGGACGAAACGTAGTGATTGTATTCCCCGTTACTGTTACACGAAAATTCAGAATTACTAGCTGAATCAGATCGAGCAAAAGCTGAGACTTTTTCAAACTATTTTAGCGAAGTCTTCTCTACGTTTATTGTAACAAATACTTGTCCCACTCACACCGAGATACTAACCATGGAATCTGTACAGGTGACTGACGAAACTGTCCTTCCGTTGATAACTAACCTCAAACCTGGTAAGACACCGGGCCCTGATGGGTTACATCCACGGTTGCTGTCATCTCTTGCGGACATTATTTCAAAACCGCTTGCGACACTCTTCAACATGTCCCTTTCACTCGCTTAACTCCCTAAAGATTGGAAGGACGCTATAGTCAGTCCTATATTTAAGAACGGTCAGAGACATATAGTATCTAACTACCGGCCAGTTAGTCTAACTAGCATAGTCGTTAAGTTACTTGAAAAGTTAATTCGGGTTAGGTTGCTAAGTCACATAGATTCACACAATCTGTTAGCTCCTGAGCAACAAGGATTTCGTAACAAGCGTTCATGCTTGACTAACTTGCTTATTGCGAGGGAGGATTGAACAGCAGCCCTAGATAACGGTCTGTCGGTCGATGTGATATTCATAGATTTTAGCAAAGCATTTGACAAGGTTCCACACGTAGGTCTCATACAGAAGCTATTGAGCTTTGGAATAATAGGTACTGTACATGAGTGGATAGGAAATTTCTTATGTGACCGCAGACAAAGAGTGAGGGTCAACGGAACGCTATCCGATTGGAAGCCGGTCAAAAGTGGTGTACCCCAGGGCACCATCTTAGGCCCTCTGTTCTTCCTTCTCTACGTTAATGAGTTACTGTGTTACTTAGGTCGTCGACATTATTGTTTGCGGATGATGTAAAAATCTGGAGAACAATAAAAAGTGCGGCTGATCATCTGGATCTTCAAGCTGACTTAGACGATTTAGTTAGATGGGCTCGAGAGTGGGGCTTAGAAATCAATGCTAGGAAGAGTGTACTAATGCACATCGGTCACGGTAATAGTTACCGTTACACTATTGAGGGTAAACCTCTTCCATGCGTTCAAGAGCATAAAGACTTAGGAGTAGTATTAAGTCATGATTTAAAAACAACTACGCATTGCAAAGCAGCCGCTGTCAAAGGTTTTCGTACGTTATAGTCACTTCGCCGAGCGTTCAAATCTTTTGACGAGGAAACGTTTCGAATTTTATATCCCACCTATGTAAGACCACACCTAGAGTACTGAATCCAAGCAGCTAGCCCGTGTCTGGTAAAGGGCCCCCAAATGCCCTGGTACGACCGAGAGTGGGGAGAGTCTGGTAAAGGATACTAACTCCTTTGAGCGTGTCCAGCGTGTAGGAACGAAATTAGTGAAGGGTCTTCCTAGACTCCCTTACGATGAGCGTGTAAAACGCCTAAATCTTTTCCTCTTCTCGTATCGTAGGACACGAGGTGACCTTATACTGGCATTTCGTATCTTTAATTATGATTTGAGTGTTAATGTCTTATCTTTTTGCTCCCTCCAGCACTAATAATCTCCGCGGTCATAGCAAGAAGGTTCATAAACCAAGATTTAATAAACTTAAAGTGGGGTCCCGTTTTTCTCATCCAGTAGTCAGTCATTGGAACGCCTTACCCGAACAAGTGGTATCAGCCCCATCAGTGAATACTTTCAAGGAGAAGCTGGACCTTCAATGGAAAGCAGTGTGTCAGGATTAATACAGGTTCATCAACCTACTATCCTTATTACTGAAGACTGGGTTTCTGAGGGAAGGGAACGTAAAGTACCAGTAGAAATTTTGGAGAATAATAGATTTGGAGGAGAAACTGCCTGAGTATTAAAAGGCGTTTCAAGTCAAATAGTTTTAATGAAATAAATATTTAGAAGCATATACAAAAAGATCTCCAATCATACTCAAAGTAGCTTACCCTCTGAAATATTTAACTTCAAAGATAGGATAGGTTCATAGAAATGCGAGAAAAGCCGTCGAGCTACAAAATGATCACACTTTTCCTTTAAATAATCTATTAATTACAAAACGACATAAAATCCAACCTTGATAGTCGAAATTAATAATCCCAGAGTATACGTGTCCAATTCATTATATCGTATGAATAAATTTGCTGATAAGAGGGAGGATAAACAGGTATGAAAGTCAATGTTTGCCTCGACAAAATTTGTCTAGAAGTTACTTAATTCATAGGAAATATAACCTACATCTAAAAATTCCCGCATCAATTTGTACGCGGTCGACGGTTGTACCATTCTAGGTTTCACATCCGTGATAAAACCTTCCCATAACTTTGTCAGACTCGGTATATCATGAACACCTATGTATATATTATTTTTATCAAGAAATTACCACTTAAAGAAATGATAGTGGGGTGGTGATTAAGTATCTTTGTAATTTCTTAATACACATATATTAGAACACGAGATACCTGATGAAGTAGTTCAACTGCACACTTCCAAGGTTTATTAGCGAATTGTATGCCTTTGGGGAACATCCTTTAACGTTGCTGAAAAACGAAAAAATATTAATTTTTGAACAAATAACATTTTTACTTCGAATAAACGAATCGTTCTAAAAGAGGACTATGATTAGTAGTCTAGAATATAAATAGTATACTCCCGAACCTGTCATAGTTTTTTTTAACCATGTACATCACACTGCTTTGAATATTTTATTCTTTCTTTGATTTACTTACTAATAATCATATTACTAGTTCAATGTCAAGTTATCTTTAGTGTACACAATGCGAACCAATATGCACTACAACAGTTCGTATTACCTTCGTGTAATCACTTTTGAAGATATGACATGCAAGGATATTTATCTCAGCTTATTTTGTAATATGCATGGTCCTAAAAAAAGGTTTAGTTTTTTCAACATAAAAAGTAAGCTTCTTATAGTGAAACTCCTGTTAAGAGCGAAAGTGTTGTAGATCCCGAAGAATGACACTTGCTTCTATGAATTTCACAGGTCCATGCGACCCATACTCAGTGATCTTGTAGAGGATACTTCGATGTTTTCATTAGCAATTCTACTAAGTACAGCCACATAAACATTTCGGTTTTATATATTGAGATCAGAATGAGGTGGTTCTGAGAAACTACTCTGCTTCGACATGCTGCATTCTGATATATCATAGTCCTTTTAGCCAGTTCATTTAAGTTACGAGGTTTATTTCTGCTATTTAGACAAAATATTTACAACTCAAGAACATCTTTTTGAACGATGCATGGCGAATTGTGTCAAGTTAAAACTGTTATGCGTCTTCTTTTCCGGAAAATATTTTTTAAGCATTTCACTTATCACGCTGTACTTTCAATGTAAGCTTATCTCTCGTGAAAATTTTCACGATTTCGAAAGTATGTCCACGCGTGGATGTGCAACGATTATTGTTTCTATAAGTGACTATACAGTCGAATTGCAAACCATTACTGCACACATAAAACTTTCGGTCCTAAATACTCAACAAACTTTCAAGCAAATTGGCAAAGATTGATATTTGCTAGGATATATATCCAATCTAACAACTCACAGAATGTAAGTCTGCCGACACAAAACGATTGAACAGCGTGGACCTTGACTGTTTGCCTAAAGATATATTTTCTGTCAATTTCAAATAGTCTAACTAAATACCAATAACCCCGGATGGCCTTGACCATCAGACTCGAAATACGCAGAGTAAAGTTATATTGTGTTGATACAACATATTTAAACACAGCGAAAATTACCTAACCCTACGGTAAATAGAATAGTTATTCACTAGACTCTTCCCTCAACTAAATATACACCAAGTTACCTCACAAAAAACACCGTATGATAAGTTTGCATGCAACTTTAACGACCTTAACAGTTTTATATGAACTCCATTGCAGTCATCAGTGCTAATTATGAGAGTAGTCAGGTGGAAATTAACTTTACACAAACTATCCACAACACCTGATCAGCGTTCCAGAACATTTTATCTCGAAATTACAAAAAACCTGGGAAATTAATTGATCATATCTACCCAAAAGTGTTTAAAGTACTCCGGTATATTCAGAGTGCTAATATATGTACTGCACATGACAGTGCAATCTGAAGATCTGTTAAAAAGCTCAACTACAATAGCGTGATCTGTCCCACCTTGAAGCGTGACACGAAAAATACATAAATTTCAGAATAAAGCATTCTGTCCCATTCCCTTCCAATTTATTAGTACCATACAAATTGACAACTAAATTAATGATCACTCGTTACTTAAACGTATTCCGACATTCAAGTGCTTTCAGTGCCCCTGCTGGAGTGTTGTCTGGTCCCGCTGCTTTGCCGCTCCTGATCTGCCTAATGGCCATGCTAATGTCCTCAAGTGTTGGTGGGCCAACATCGATTGGGAGGTCTGTGGGTGTTGCTTCAATGTTGGATGGGTTCAGTGTGGCTGGTCGATTGAAGAGTTCTTCGAAGTGTTCTACCCAACTGTTTCGTTGTTCTTCAATGTTGGTGATTACCTTGCCTTCCTTGCTTTTCACTGGTCGTTCTGGTTTACGGCGATTTCCAGAGAGTTTTTTTGTCGTGTCATACAATTGTCCCATGTTTCCTTCTCTTGCAGCATTTTCCGCCGTCGTTGCTAAATCTTCCACATATTTACGTTTGTCGGTTCTGATGCTCCTCTTCACTTGTTTGTTTATTTCCGTGTATTCAGCTTGTGCCTTGGCTTTTTCTGCTCTTGTTCGGCTGGTATTGATCGCTGCCTTCTTGTTCCTCCTTTCTAGAATCTTATCCAGTCTACCAACAGTGATCCATTCCTTGTGATGGTGCTTCTTGTGACCCAGGACCTCATGACATGTTGAAGTGATTGCCTCTTTGATCCCCTTCCAGTTGCTCTCCACAGTAGTTCCTTCTCCATTGAGTAGACCATGAAAGGCCTGGAACTTGTTGCTGAGGTCTATCTTGAATTTGTTGAGTTTGTTAGTATCCTGGAGAAAGGCCGTATTGAACTTTTGTGATACTGTCTGCCCCGTTGTCCAGTGCTTCTTGAGTTTCAATTTCATCTTGGCGACCAGCAAGTGATGATCTGATGCTATATCAGCTCCTCTCTTGGTTTTCACATTCTCCATCGTCCTCCCGAACTTTTTGTTGATGCAGATATGAACGATTTGGTTCTGCGTAATGTGATCCAGTGAAGTCCATGTGATTTTGTGAATGCGTTTATGTGGGAATATAGTGCTGCCAATGACCAGTTTATTGAAAGCATAAAGGTTTGCAAATCTCTCACCATTTTCGTTCCTTTCTCCCAGTCCATGTCGTCCCATGATGTCTTCATATCCGTTGTTGTTCACCCCAACCTTGGCCTTTAAATCTCCGATCAGAACGGTCAGGTTTTTTGTTGAGAACTTCTCGATGATTGACCGCAGCCTATCGTAGAATTAATCTTTAACGTCTTCATTTTAGTCGTTGGTAGGCGCATAGCATTGGATGATGTTCATTGTAAAGAGGAAGACCAAACAACACATCATGCCGAGAAATGGAGACAGACATGAGGGGAATCAACAAGAATCGGATATAACTAGAAAGGAAAGCCCAGGACAGAGTGGGATGGAGAATGCTGGTCGGCGGCCTATGCTCCATTGGGAGTAATAGGCTTGAGTAAGTAAGTAGGTTTATGATCCTGGGTCAATGGGATTCCCATCCTGTAAGTGCATTTTGTGCTTGCTTGGACAACTTCAATGTAACTCCTTGTGTGTGTGGAACATTTTCTTTTTCATGGCAGGAGTATAGTAGAAGCTCCCTTGAAACTAGTCGTTGTTGTCCAACTTGCCTCCAATGTGTTTCACTATATTCAAGCACCTTCAGGTTGCATCTTTCCATTTCTGCAGCAATTTGGAAGACTCTCCCGGTCTCCCACATTGTAAGGTCATTCCATGTACCTGAATTAATAGTTGCTCTGGTTGTCAGAAGGGGCATCAGACTCGTGACTTCCGAAGGAACTCGGCTTTGAGCATTAGGCCTTGTAGTGGCATTGAACAATAACCGCACAATCCACAAAGCTGAACACGAGACTACTCAGAAAATAGATATTCAATATTTAACGCGGATAAATACCTAACGATGGAGAAGGCGCGAAGAATGAATTGAATAAACTGGAGTTGATCGAGTGGCATGGCTCGGCCATGCAGGCGTGGTCTCTGCTGAATGTTATCTTATATCTTCTGTTCATATATTGTTCTTTCTCTAGCCTAACCTTGTTCTTCATCATGTATTGGTAATTGATACGATACAGTGAGTTGGTGTAGTCGATGGTGTGACTTCCACGTAAGATCTTATAGATTAGGCAGTTATATCATGACAAATCTACAAATTTAGGATTAGGTCTATTATTAGAGCAGTACTAATATCATAGTAGACTATAGTTCTACAGCCTCACAACTCATTTAAATGAACTAATTTTTCCGGTTAGCGTTTGTTTAACGATTTGGTTTTCCACGGGATAGGGTCGCTAACCGCATACCCAACCCTTCGCTTTTATTTGGGCTTCGGGTCGACGGTAATCCCAGAGGAGCTCCAGGCGGGGTGAAAGATCTCTCCCTTCATCAATAATTATCCTCAGTCTCAGAGTCTTCTTGATCGACCCTTCAATTCACTCCCTAAATAACCAACCTACCCATCGAATCCACTCTTTTTCACTTGCCACTGTCGGACATGATTCTTCTTTCCCCACTCCACCATCTCTCAACTGCTCTCCTATTGGTCCCATTGATAAAAAATCAAATGAACAACATTATTAAGAGGCCTGTTATGACTATTGTTTTGTCAAGTATCACATGACAAGATCAGTCTAGAAGTGACTGTAAATATGAGAAGCTATAGCCAATAAACTAGCAATATCTTAAGTATAGTAAGTCGTATGACAGTATTCTACAGGTCAAGTTGAAACTATTAATAAAAAGAATATGAATATATATATAGTATAGTCATGTGGTGGCATTGGGCCCTAACCACACAATCCTTAAAGCTGAACACTAGACAAACGGGAAACTAGATGCCGATCGTCGTCAGGGTTAAGGATAACCAATGGGTATTAATCGCTTGCACGTCATGGATTGGCCTATGAGACAGTGACTGCACTCTATTTCTTGTACCTTCTCTTGCTAATATATTTCTGCAATCACGTTTTTCGTGTTGTACAGTCATCAAAGTAACAACAGCACCTGGATACGACGAAAAGGTAATTCACATTGAGAATTAGCCGTAGGGTGTGACTTTTATGCAAGCTTGTTAGTATCAACATTCCGGGCCAACTGGAGTGGTCCTCCAATCATCGATATGAATCACCTACGTTGGTGATTTAAGAGCTGATTGGCCGAAAGGTGACCACAATCATCTACGCAAATGTCAGAACATTACAGCTCAAGTATTCATTCATTTTCTTATTTTGTATAGGCATCATATTTCCTGTTATTTTGTGTTTTATGTTGAAAAGTTTTGTATCTAAAAACATAACCCCGTGCTCCACTATATATTGCCCCATGGTCTAAGTAGGGACTTATTCACTACGAGTCTGTATTCTTTTATCAATGGAACGAGGTATATCCACCGGCTTGGAAGAGTCATGCCACCAATTTTATGTTGGATTCGCTACATCGCTAAAGTGACCTATTGCGTGCCAATTCTTACACTATGAATGAAGAGCTGAAAGTGGATAAAAGTTATGATGGACAAAAGCAACAAATAATAAAGGCATTGAAGGTACTAGCGTTTCAGAACACTTTAAACTCCATTTTGTGATTTTGAAATTGAATGGACAGCCTTCCTGTTTCCTACTTGAGCTTTCATTTCATTATTCAAACCCATTCCATCTTAATACACTACACAACGGATTGTTCTTTGTTCCTGCAATTCCTTTGCGGATCTTTTAGCTGCAATTAAGTCTATTGATAGTACCTAACATGAAGCTTACATGCTAATTAAACATAAATTTGTTTGTTAAACTGCAAACATTCGAGCCTTGCTGAGGATGTACATCCACTTATCATTCTTCTAGTCTTTTTTTGTTGTTTTCAGCATCACAATAGCATGCAACTATGAAGCTTTTATACTAAACTGGTACCAAACCTATACGTTTGTCGAGGTTCTAGGTTATACCTTCTCGTAGTTACTCCAATACATTTATAAAATTATTAAACATTTATATATATTATGATATGATGGTTTAAACCACTTAATGTATAGTAGTTTAATCCTCGGTTGTCTATGACTAGGCAACAATGATCTGAACTCCCGGGGCTGACTTGCGTACGCTTTATGCCTCAGTATCGCAACTACTCTTCTGAGTATCGCGAGACTTTCTCTAAATAGTTATGTTCTGTTTTTTTAGAAGGAACCCTAAATGACTGTGTTTATCAAATTTAGCCAGCAAGCACGATTTACAAAGAGGCAATAATAGGTCATAAGTAATCACACATCATTGTAAATGGAGGAAATAAAGTGTAGCGTAGGCTTTTTCAGCATCCGATATGTAGTTCAATCAAATGTCAAGTGATAGTCTCAGACCACGATCTGTGCAAGGTTTTACTTCAGTCACTTAGGAGAAAGTTGTGGATCACTAATATAGGTGGCCTATGCGGTTTATCGAGGTCTAATTGAGTTGGACAGTAATGGTGTGGTCTCTTAGCTTACGTCGAAGTCATGCTTTGCAGTT